TGAATATTATTCCTGGAGGTCCCATCACCTCCATTTCCCAAATTGATGGGTGGTGACTCCATTTCTACCCTAAGTGACAAGTGAGTCATTTTCCTGATGCTCACATTGAGGAACTTACCCGATGTGACTTCGAATATGCACTTATTCGGATTGAGCTTCATGTTATATTTTCTTAGAATGTCAAAAACACAGTTTAGATAAAAAATCAGAGTTTGAAAATCAGGTTTCAACAACCATTTAAAACCATATCATCAACATAAACTTCTATTTTATTCCCAATCAAATCAGAAAATACTTTGTTTACAAGGCATCGGTAAGTCACCCTACTGTTTTTTAAACCAAAGGGCGTAACTTTATAACATTACAAACCCATTTTAGTTACAAAGCAGTTTTTTCCTAGTCGACTAGATCCATCTAAATTTGGTTGTAGTTAGAGTAAGCATCCTTACCTCCTTGTCCACTATCCTCCACCACTCCGAGGCAAGGTTCATTTTCCTCTACCAGATTGGTCTGACTAAAGGGTCAACGTTTGGCCTATGAATTATTATAGAGGAGTCTATGTTGGGCATTTCTATTGTCGACCAAGCAAAAATATCTGAGTACCTGTTTGGCAAGTCTTTTCCAGAAGATCTATTACAAGATCTGATAGTTAAAAGATAGGGTGAGCTTTTGCAAATAGATCTTGGAAGACCAAAGACTAGTTGAAATATTTTTCATAGATCTTAGGAAAGACTATAAAAGTTAGAAGACTATTTGGTAATGTGAAGAAAAGATGTGTTATGTATATATGAATGCCTTGTGTGTGGGCCAACAAACCTTTCATTTAACACCTGTGACCATCATACATTTTCTAAGGTGGGCCCCACATACCATTGGTGGACATGTATAAGGAGCCCACATACATTTTACAAGGTGGGCCCGACATACTATTAGTAGGCATGTGTGAGGTCCATGTGTGGACATGTATGTAGGGCCCATATATATTTTACAAGGTGGGCCCGACATACTATTAGTGGTAATGCATGTGGGGTTCATGTGTGGACATGTATGTAGGGCCCACATACATTTTTCAAGTTGGGCTCCACACACCATTGGTGGACATGTATGTAGGGCCCACATGCATTTTACAAGATGGGCCCGACATACCATTGGTGGATATGCATGTGGGGTCTGTGTGTGCACATTTATATAGGGCCCACATACATTTTCCAAGGTGGGCCCCACATACCATTGGTAGGTCCCACTTACACATTCAATTAGTTTTTTATGAAAAGATAACCCATTTTCTCCTAAGCGTGTGCATCGTGCCACACGTTCAAAGAAGACGGGGCACTAAAAGATTGTAAAAGCTTCCTAAAAAAGTGCAAATTCGGGTTGTTGGTGTCTTTTGTGCACTGGAGCTTTTTCCCAATAGATCATTCCATTGCCAAACGGGAAATGCCTAGAATTCAGGCTTCCGGGCTTTTAAATAACCTGAAGTCCGCGCAGAAAGACTTGCCAAACACAACCTAAATTATTAATTAAAAAGCTTACCAGTGCATAGCGTTGTGGTTCTGTGAGGCAGGCTCCGATCTGCACTATCTTTGCAGGGTCAGTAGTTGAGACCGGCACCAGGACGGTGTCCTCCATGATGCGAGCTCTCTCGTTGCCATTCTCTAGGGTGGCTCCAAGTTGATGTCGATAGTCTGCTTCCCTTTCCCTTTCAGTGCGACCATGTAGCATTTGCACTTCCGAGACTCGAGTTGATCACCTCACACCATTCCAACTCCATAGTATGTTGCAAATTTCATCGACAGATGGTAGGTCAATACCACAGCTCTAAGGGCTTGCAAGATCGGTCGGCCCAAGATGGTATTTTAGGGCGAGGAAATTGCAATCACTAGGAATGTGGTCGAAGTGCACCTGGTTTGGTGGTGAGCCCGCTACTAATACTCTTATTCAGATGAGAGGCTGCCACTTCTCCGTTAAGGCCGACCAAGGAGATGTTGGTCGGTAGTAAGCCCTTCCTCTCCAGTTTCATTCGCTCAAATGCCTCCAAAAAAATGATATCCRTTGAGCTATCGGAGTCGACCATAATTCGCTTTACCTCAAAGTCATTTATCACTAACTTGACCATGAGGGCATCATCATGCGGATACTAGATCCCATGAGTGTCATCATTGGTGAAGTAGATTACTTCCTCCACACAAGGACGCTTAGGCGGGTTCCCATCCTCATGCTCGAGCTCTTGAATTGAGATTTTCCCAATTGAGGTGCTACATCCTGCCACTATGGACCCACCTGTGATCATGTTGATTACACCACGGATGGGCCGCTCTACTGGTGGTGGGTCTCGAGGAGGCTAGTCCTAGTTTTGGTCCATGTTGGACTGTGGCACTTCTCTAGGCTGGTCGACAGGTCAGTGTCGATCTTCTTGTTTAATAAATTGCTTCAAGTAACCTCGGTGGATCAGTTCCTCGATCTCATCCTTGAGGTTACATCAATTTTCTTTATCATGGCCAATGTCCCATTGTAAGTGGCAGTACTTGTTCAGGTTCCTGTTGTCGGGGTCTTCTCTCATTCGAGGTGGCCATCTAATGTACCCARTTGTCTTTATCTACATCAGGATCTCCCCTCTCTTCGTGTTCAGTGTAGTGTAGTTCTAGTTCTGAACGAGAGGGATGCAAGAACATCGACCTAAGGACCTATTGCCTCTATAAGGGAACCTACTGCGCCTTGGCGACTTACTCTTCCACCTTTTCATGCTGCTCCCCGACTTGTCCTCTTATCTCTTTTGTTTTTTGCTTAGCTCTAACCGAGACCTGAGTGTTTCTTCGGCCTTCATGAACTTGACTGTCTGGTTGAAGAACTCCTCCATAGAGGCCAGAGGGATCAACTCGACCTCCCAGTGCAAGTCAGGATGTTGAATGCTATTGACTACCACGGTAARATGTATGGCTGGGTTGAGGTTGGGTATCTAAAACCACTCCAGGTTGAATTACTTGATGTAATCTCAGAGTTTCTCATCAGGTCACTAAACCACATTCAGTAGACAGGTCGCCAACTTAAAAAACTTCTTGCTCATCACGAAGTAGGTGGTGAAGAGGTCGACGAACTGGCTCTATCTCTTAATTGAGCCAATGGCCAGTCCCGAGTACCACATCCGAGTTGTACTCGAAAGGTGGTCAAGAAGGCCATGCAAAGACTTGTATTGTTGGCCCCATGTAACTACATCCGGTCCTATAAACTATCGAGGTGATCGACTAAGTCGGTTGTTCCATCATATGATTCCAGGCTAAGGGCCTTGAAGTCCTTAAGCCATAGCGCCATGAACTATTCAAACATCCCCCGGTCATCCAACTCTTTTACACTTGTTTAACCAACATGTCTATAGAAGTGTTCTCTTGAGCCCATGTCTAAATAAGTTGGCTAACATTGGCATCATCATATGTTGTATTACATTACTTACTCGTCACTAAACAAAATAGATTAAAAAATAAAAATAAAAAAACAGGTTCAATTAATTAGTAGAAAGATATATCAAATTCAAGAACTAAGCCACAAAGTAAAAAAAGCTATCTGCTCTCGCCTAAATAGGTACAAGCTATCTGCTCTCGCCTCTTTGACGACCAGAGCTAAGCTCCAAAAATTTTCATATCGTTACGTCATCAAACTTATGGTGTGGGCCCAATCAATATCTGCCACGTCATTCCATTCGCTAATGAGGAGTTAAAGGATGCAACCGCGTTTCAGCATAGGACATAATATAGATTTGACGTGTACGCCACCACGGCACTACCCCCATATAAATGCTCCGGTCCGGTCCTGGCCCTACCATCTAGACCAAAAGCAAAGTGAGCTGTAATCGGATCCATTAATATTTAGATCTGAAACCAACAATCGGACTCAGATCGAATTAGATTTAAATTTACATTCATCTTATTGCGCTTAAAATGATAAAAAAAAAAAAGTAAAATATTTTACCCTAAAAAATCCCTATAAATGAATCGGTTCGGTTCAAGCACGTCGGATGTGTCCTCTCTAACTCCGAAATCCGAACTGAATCCATTGAAGGCAAGCTGTTTTTGCTTGGAATCCTCCTTTAAAGTTTAGACAATAGCACACCAGAGGCAGAAGGCAGAGTTGGCGTTGGCGATGGGAGAGTCAAAGTTTCGTCCACACTCGATCAGTCACCCGCATTAAATGCATTCCTTAGTTCAAACTTGGATGAACGACCGGACTGTCCGGATCAAGACCAACGTCGGAGTTAATGCCTACTCCGTACCATAAACATAAATTGGTCTCTCTCTCTCCCTCTGTATGTACTGCTGTAAATGCATCGGAGAATGTTGCCCACTCTAAGATCCCTCACCGTACGTTTTGAAAACAAACGGTCCAGATTCCAGAACCAAAGAACATAAAGCTCCCCTTTATCTTTAGTTGCTTGCAAAATTGTGGTTTCATTTGAAGCTCTGTTTCTGAGCCTTCCACTTTGTTTTGGTTTGAATGATAGAAAGCTTGTGGGGCGATGCTGGCTTTGCTCAGATAACTGTGTAAATGCAGCAAGCAAGCCAATCAGCACACGAAACGTGTAGGGAATCGCCTGTTTCCTACTGCAATACAGACCACGCGTGCACCCACTTGGACCAAGAAGTGAGAACCCAACCCTCTCACCTCCTGCAGGTCAGTCCCATCTTGAACCACTAGCTCTGCGCCATGACCATCCTCACAAGTCACAACCCCTTCTTCACAGTTTTCCCACTCTCTCACTCTCTCTCTCTCTCTCTCTCATGAATAAGAAGAAGAAGGGAACTGCTTCAAAAGAAAAGAAAATCTCTCTCTAATTATGGTGGATAAGGTTGAGAATCCAAAAGGCGTGCAAACCCCACTAGACAAGAGACCACCATGTAGTGGAAGTTGATCAGAATTTTGTCACTGTTGGGTGGGTAAGAGAATTCAGCATTCTCGCATAAAATATTAGATCATATAATATATAAAAATCTTCAGACAGATTTAACAGATGATTCAGAAGTACCAAACCCGGCATAACAGATCAGTGTATATATTTTAGTAATATCAGAGAAGAGTAAACACACGAAGTCTTAATCTTGTTGGGCAATGATACAGAACATTCAGAAGCAACATGCAGCTACATCTTCTTTTCAGACTACCTGTTAGTTTCTGTATATGTTGTTTCTCTCATCCTTTCTTTTTCAAGGACAACAAGCAAAGATCATTGCAAGTTCGGATTCTACCTTTCTCTATCTATTTCTGCTAGTCGTCTGTGYGAGTCTGTGCTGATTTGCTTGCTTCGGGGGTGGAGAATCGTCACTTCCCGAGGGGGGAGAGGAGGGGCTCAAGCCTGACATAGAATATCAGAACTGACAGTCTCATCAGACCAGGAGTTGCACCACAGCAGCTACAGCTACAGCTTCAGTACCACCAATACCCAGCTTCTCGAGAAGGAAATCAAAGCCGAAAAGAGACCCCTGAAAACTTTGTGAATGGGGTTAATAGAAAAATGAAGAGAAAAGACAAGAAAACTTGGAAACCCACAACAAATAGCATGAACTGTGAAAGCCAGAAAGGAAAACGGCTAGAACAAGACTAGAGAAACTTGAGAAATTAATGGAAGGCAGTTCTAAGTGAAACGATGGAAGCAAGAAGTGAGATGGCTAGTATAATATCGGAAGAGTTAGAAAAGAAATAACTGTAGATTGAGGCCAAAACTGAGGAAACCAAAAGATGGGTATCTCAGATTTCTCCTCTTCTATGAAGTTTCAGTTGCAGGTTTAGTAAGGAGGACGTGAGGTGGGAGGCCATGGCAAGACTTCAGGAGGGATCTGACAATTCAATGGCGTTGGAGCTGCAATACTGTAAACGGCCATAGGGATGTTAGTCGTGCAAGAATCGCTGCTACCACTAACCAAATTTACAGGCTTGACGTCCTCGGTTTCTTCGTCGTCGCCTGGAAGACGGTGGAACGTAGGGTTAACAAATGAAGCTGCTACCAAAACTACCGTGCTCCCAGCAACAAGAGAGCCTGCAACTGTCCCTCCAAAGACCTGGCCATGGCCTCCTGCAAGGGAGATGGTAAAGGGAGGACAAGATTTGGACGTAGAAGAGGAAGTAGACGATGAAGACGAGGACCCAAGAAATGTGCCTGATAGTGAAACAATATGGAAAGGGCCGGTGAGAGTGAGTGTCGATGTGTGTGAGGCGGGATGCCGGAGCGTGACGTTGGCCACAGTGCCGGAGCCGCTGAGGATAGACAGACCCACGTGTCGGCGACGAGCGAACTGTGAAACCATTTCGACGACGTCGGACCCGGCGGATACTTCGAGGACTACCGGTCTCATGGCGCACTCGCTGTCTCTTGTAATCACGATGGGCGGCTTGGGTTTGTTCTTTGAGCCCGGTGGTCGGCCTCTTGGCTTCCGAACAACCTCCACCATCGACCCAACATCACCCCCAGTTTTGTTGTTGTTGTGATTGATTTTCACCTTCGTGACTCCACCACCACCCATGAACGGTGTTCCGTTTCTCGCACTGTGTTCGTCATCTTCTTCTTCGGAGGTGTGACATTCCCGGGTTTGTGAGAGAGAGATCGCTCCTCCATAGTCGGCCATTGCTCAGAGYTTGTTCTTCACTAGTTGATGTGTAAACTCTGAGAGAGATAAAAATGAAGTTCAAAAACTCCTTTTCAAAGGACTAAAATCAGCAAAGCGAGATAATCAGATAACAACCCTKCTTTTATAATTGGTATACCTTTTTCCTGAGCTGTCGGATGCCTGAGCAACCAGGCGGGAAGGAAAGCGGGTCCCACACCGCTGCACGGATCCATTACTGCTTCGGTCACATCCTAAACTCTCTTCCATAGATTCTACTAGGTCACATCCTAAACTCTCTCGCTCTTAGTCCCTCCCTCCCCTCACGGGCCACGGCCCAACCATTCTCTCTCATATGTTGGAGTTTGTCCAATGGGCTATATCATGGAGATGTCTTAAGAGTACTTGATTGATGGTATATCTTCCTTCCTAAGTTCTGCATTAATGTCCATTGTGACAGGATGGAAAGAAATTGTTTCGGGACTAACCATTATGTAAGAAGATCCATCAAACAACAACTAAAATACCCACAAATAATATTATATATATATATATATATATATTATAAAATATATTAAATTTAATGTCAAAATAATGATATACATATGAAGGTCTAAGGAGAATGAACTGAAGGGAGGAAGAAAGGTGGAAAGGATTTGGTCAAACCCCCGTGGTGTATTTTTGGTTATAGGGTGACTTGGGTTCAAATCGCTTGCATGTCGTAGTGTATTTTTGTATTCATATGCATGGATACTGGATCAATCCTATCGTATTGATATTTTAACCCTTGATTGATATATTGAATTTTTTTAGAGATTATTAATGCAAGAATATTACAGTAGACATGTATTGTCAATGGGTTTAATTTACATTATATATGGTCTCCAAGGTTAATATGGGTTTAATTTAAATGCTTAGGAATTAACCCTAACCCACCACCTTACTTACATGGAATTGGTTAGGTCCTAGACTATAAATAGCAATGCGAAGGGAGACACCTCTTTGCTCTTTTTAATATCATTTACACATTTTTAGATCTCTTTCAGCCACACAAACTCACTTGAGAAATGCAAACAATCACAAGCACCTACAAACCTCAACCCAGCTACTTCAAATTCAAGAGAGAAAAAGAAGAGAAATAACTTCTTAATTCTCAACTTCTCAACTTTACACTTGGATTCAAGTTCTTGAAGAAGACCAAACCATCACAAGAGACCCTTCCTAGAGAACATCCTTCACAACCAATCAAGCACAAAGCCCAAAATAAAGAAACTAAATTAGTAATTTGAGAAGCACAAGAAGAAACACGCCAATGGCCTTGACCATTAACCAATTAAAGGTTGCTTATGTAATCTTTTTTCTCCATTGTTGCTTATGTAACTAAGCAAAACCAAAGAGATTTCATTCCCACTGGCTTTATTACAAGGATCTATTTTGTAATTTGTATCCATATTATTTGTTAATTTGATACAAAAATTGATGTCAATAACTACGAATAGTTGAAACTGATTAATTGAATTTCTTAAGGTAATGATCTATATGAGTACATTCTGTTTTTGATAATGGAAAATGGTGTACTTTCTAGGGAAATGACAAACGATATCAATGTATTAAATGATAATAAATATATCTATTATGGTACAAGTGTAGGGTAGTTTGGATACAGGGCAAGTCCATTTCATGGTAATTGAATTTATCCCAATCATCACCCTTTTTCTATTATCTTATTATTATATGTACCCCACTTTTTTTATGCATGCAGCAGAAAAACTTTCTCTCTTTATTGTCCACTATCAGTATCATGTGGCACGTGCTTTTTTTTTCTTGTTTGGTCAATGGAGATGTTATTTACCCATAGTAGGAAAATGCAAATGTTTGAAATGCTTTCCAAGAGAGAATTGGCTCTATGATTTAGAGCCACAAATGGATGAGATCAAATTGGATATAGGCATTATCAAATTTGATTTGTTTATATTTGAATTCAAATCAGATAATATCTATTAGATATATAGTGGATTTGAATTGAATTCAGATTATAATCGGATATTAAATAATATAAATATATTGGACTATTAATGATTAAAAGATTATATATTATTAATAAGATAAGCTATGGCTTTAATATTATATTTTATTAACAAAATAAATTGAAAATTACTTAGATAAAACTTGAACCTATGACAATTTAGTGAAAATACAACAATGAGACCAACTTCAATGATAAATATAATGCAATTTATAAGTACATATAAGCATGGATATTTAAATTGAATCGAATCATATCGGATCAGATACGGGTAGATTTATAATTGATCCAATTATAAATGGATCAAATTATCACCCTTAATAGGATCGAATTCAAATTTTAATTTAGATAATTAGATACTATTTGCAGCCTTACTATGATTGTAGGAATCACTTTTAAGTAAGGCCGTGAATGTGTGGTATGTACTCTGAGGTCTAAGGAATTAGTTAAACCAAAAAGGAAAAAAAATGTAGATAAATAAGTGACCAAACCCCTAAGAAGGGGTTGTCTACATACCCTCCAATGAGGGATCAGGTCGTTGTTAGAAGAAGGACAAAGTGACAGATGGGTGAGATGGGAAGATGGGATAAGGCTAATATGGATGAGAAATGGACTGATATCAAGATGATGGGGCAAGAAATGGTTCCCAGGCCCCTTGAAATGGATGAGAGGCTCCTATTTATAGCGGGTGCTCATTCCAAAAGTTTCTTAAATTTATGTTTTTCCTATTTTACCCTTGTACTTTAAAATGTTCTTTTTCACATTTAAAATATGTGGATGAATATCTTTCTAGAATTATTTTATTAATTACATGTTTATTTCCATTCTTGAATATGCTTAGTTAGATTTATTTCTAGAATGTTCATTGCACATGTTTATTCTTACTCAAGATTTCTCTTTTAGTTTCTAGAATATTCATCCCTTAATTGTTGTGCTGAAATATTTAGCACTTATATTCAATCAATAAAATGAGTCGAATTGACCCAGATTTGGTTGGTCTTGTCGCAGTTGTCGATCCATATTGCTACTCAGGTTGATCCCCTTACACTAAGAATTGATTCTTTAAACTTCAAAATAGAATAATTTTTTGCTCAAAACTTATTCTTCAAATAGTGATTTTTTGGAGTATAATTTTAACCAAATTAACATAGCCTTAACAACTGATTGCTTTGAAGAGAGAGATATATCATGTAATCTAATTCTCTATCAACTTTCAAATTCCTTTTTGGATTTATGATATATCAAATTTTATCTGACATATTTGCAAATTTGCAAATAATTGGGTATATGCATATTTTTCATTAATTCATTGTCTCTCATTTTTAAATATATTTATTAGATACACATTTAGACTAGGACCCAAAAAATTAAACACAATAACTAGGATAATCATGGGTTGGGCTAAGGCTAACTTTTCATGGGAGTAATTTAAGCCCAAGTGCTCTTAAAAAACCAGAAAACCAAAAAATCGAATCAGATCCAATGAAATTGAATAAAAAATCTAATTAACTGAACTGATCGATTTGGTTTCGGTTAACCAATATGAAAAAACAACGGTTGAACCGACTGTATATATATTTCATGCATATTATATATGCTTCTCATATATATATATATATGATATATGATATGTTAGTAGGGGTGGCAAATGGATGGATTGGGTTGGGTTGGGTGTGGGTTGAGTACCAATCCACCCATATTGACTCACTAACCCATTTGCCACCCATGTTTATGGGTCAAAGAGGGTCACAACCCACTTTGACCCTAACCCACCCATTCTATGGGTCAAAGAGGGTCACAACCCACTTTGACCCTGACCCACCCTAACTCACCCATTTGACCCTCTAATTCAATTATTCAAATTAGACCCTTCTTTTTTTACCTTTTCTTGATTCCAATTGCATAAAAGCATATGGCTATATATTTAAACTACAAAAACCGAAAAACATAAATAATCAATTTTTTAAATAAAAATAAATGCATAAAAAACACATTAAGTGGCAAAAAAATTATATTTCCTGTAAAACATCAGAAAGTGTAGAAAAAAACTTAGAAAATAAAAAAATGAATAAAAATATAAAAGAGAAATTGTAAAAAATATAGAAAATTAAAGAAAATGCCAAAGATTGCATTAAAGTATAAAAATTGTATGGAAACACAAAAAAACATACGAAAGATTTGTAGGAAAATGCCAAAAATGCACAAATTTATAGAAATTACTATAAAATATGAATGATAAAAATTTCAAAAATATATTTTTCAGACAAAAAAATCAAAAATAATAATAATAAATAAAACAATAAAAACTCAAAATTTTATATATTTCAACTAAAAACAATAATCACAGGAAAAAGATGCAAAAAATGATAACAAAAATTTCTAGAAATTATATACCTTTGGTAGAAATAGAAAATTATAGAAAACACATAGAATGATAATTTTTTCAAAAAAAATATGTTTCAGCCAAAGATTAGAATTAGAATTGATGAATCAATTTTTTGGTCATGTATCAATTTTTTGTGCTAAGTACCTCGTCATTTGGTCTGAGCTAGGGGTAGATTACGTGCCGAGTTAACTGGGCCGAGCTGGGTAGGTTAGGTGCCAAACTGAYTGGGCCGAGCTAGGCAGGTTAGGTGACGAGCTGACTAGAGTGTCGTGCTACCTATTAGTTGCCGAGCTGACTAGAGTGTCGAGCTGCCTATTAGTTGTCGAGCTGACCAGAGGGTCGAGCTGCCTGGTGGCGAGCTAGATTGATTGTTGAGCTTCGTAGTTCTTTAAAGACTTGCAAGGAACCAATGTCAGAGGACCCGGGGTGGCTAACCCAGCGAGGTCGCTCTGATGCTTAAGTCAGTACTCTCATAGTAGACTACGAGCTAAAAATCACAAAGTATGAGAGCTAGAATATGATTACTTGCCCCCGCCATTGGGGTTGGTGCCTTTATATAGGCATTGTTTGGTGTGGGCTTCACGCACCATATCCGAGATTTCTGAGAAGTCGTCTAAGTTGTCTGAGATTCCCTGAGGTAGCCGCCA